CTTGTATTTTTAATTAGACATTTGTAATATATACTTGGTATTTTTTATTCCTTATTTATCAGTCTTGGAAATAAAATATGTATGATATTTATCTTTCTCTGGTGTGATGTCTAGAGAACAAACTCGTCTTTTGCTAACAGCATATCATTAGGAGCCTTTTCTCTGGGGTAAAATTGAAATCAAACTCAGATTTAAAAAATACATCAGAAAAAAGATGAAGCTGTAGCCTGGCTGGGGACCAGATAGGAGAGACTGCTACTGCCCTGGTTAAACTGGAAAGGATGATAAAGTGAAGTGGAACATCAGCTTCCTCCTATGTGATGATAAAGACAAGCAACGTGGAGTTTGCAGAACAAGAAGTCAGCTCAGGGGAGATTTAAATTAGATTCATCCATCATGCTTAACATTTCTGCAGAGATTCTGAACCGTTGCCATGCTGCTTTCTTGCAGCACTTTATCAGCATGGCTGCCTATTCACAGACACCATCCAGGGCAAAGGAGAGACTTCTATATTCTGTCACATGTGGCTCTGCAGATGTAAGCCGTGCCACCCATCCATGCCATAGGGACAGGTGGGGCCACAGCATCCCCTGCCCAGGGTGCTCTGCAGCCTCTGGCCGTACAGCTGACATGGCTGCTGCAAGGCCTGCTGCCCATTACAGCCCCCTGCCCTGCAAAACGACTCAGAGAGCTCACAACTCCAGCTGACTTCTCTATCAACTGTTCTTTTACTTAATGCAACCTTTAGTTGGATGTTTAAGTTGAGTCTCATTTCAGCTTCCCCTGAGCTCCTGCCTGTTCTTAAGCCATGCTCTCACCTGTCTGTGCACCTGGCTGGGGTCAGAGCTCACTGCTTTTCTTACAAATCTGCCTGTAATCCCTTTTGCCTTCTGCTCAAGTTCCACAATGGTAACACAGGTGAGATGGGAGCTGCACAGCCAGAGTGCAGCCATGCCTGTGCTCCCACCTGCACGGCCCATCTCCTCGGTGGGCTGCTCTGCTGGGCAGAGCTTTGCAGAGGGGAAGCACAGAGCAGCCCAGGGCAGCCCACGCTGCGTGGGAAGCAGCAGCAGACACAGAACTTGGTGCAGGGTAATTACGAGGCCCTTTTTTTGCAGTCGTGCGTGGTGACTGCTCTAACAGGTCTGTACCGGCAACATGAATATTAAATAAATAAACACTTAATTTATAAGCATGATTCATCAAAGATTTCATCTTCTACAGCAAAGAAACAGATGTTCCATTGATGGCACTTCATTAGAGAGATAAATGGGGTCACATACATATCTCCGTTCACATCCATCTGCATAATAGACCAAACATTAAGATTTGAAATCCACATAGCACATGCAGCTCTTACATCAGCCTGAAAGACTCTTAATGCCCAGAGCCAATTAATCCGAGTTAGACTGCCTTGACATTGCAGGAGCTCCAGTGTTGTTCACAAAAGCAGAACGCAGTTTCACTTGGAGAAGAGTAACAGATTTTACCTATCTGGATGGGAGTCAGTTTTGGTATCTGCTGGACAAAATGCAGGATCTTTACTACGATCTCACAGACAGCATTAAAACACAACAGTGACAGAAAGCCTGAAAACACAGCGCTTCCTGCAGAATCCACCAGGGTTAGGAGGCTTCAGGTCACAGAGAGTGTTCTGTTCTCCAGGACTTTCTGCAGGATGCCTATGGGGTGCTCTGCTCCTGAGGGGCAGCCTTGGTTCCCTCAGCACTGACCTGCAGCACTGCAGGACCACTGAACACCTGCAGTGAACTGCAGTCACTCTCTGTAGGCAGGTTAATGCACCACACCCCACTCAGAAATTTTAGGTGGGAATTCACCCCAAATTCAGCTGGTCCTAGAAGTAAAGCTAATTAAATGAACACAAGTGTTCTCATTTAAATACACTGACCAGACTGGGGTTTGTTCCCATCTAAGGGTACAAAGGTAATAACTGTTAACCTTTGACAGCTAAAAATGTAAAGGGAAAATATCTTTCATTTAAAACTTGCTCGTTTGGTTTCCATGGCCACTGCTTAATCACGGAGGATGACTATTACTTGTTACTATGGCAACCAAGAAGCTTAAGAAGCATCCTGTAATTTAACTCCAGATGCCAAATTTTACAGCAGTCCACCTATTACCACATTTGGGTACTTCAGAACAAGACCAGGCTTGATCTCCTACACTACAAGAAATTCATTGGCGCAGAAGTGCTGCAAGAAATCAAAAGTGTGAGCACATAATGTACAAAAGGAACTTGCACTTGAAATAAATTGGTTTCTTCAAAAAGAAACATTAAGTGCTCAACATCTGAGGAATCCTTTTTCAGCGTTGATGTTAATGAAGCAAAACTTTGGCCTTCCTTATTCTTGTCAATGTTTCTCAAAGCCTACGCAGTAGCAGGGCATGTATTTCCCCAAAGTGAATGCTTCAATGCTCAACTTAAAATGCACTTTGAAAGTAATGCTAAGTAGCCAATAGTCATAAAGCACAAAGCTTTGCCACCAGCACTGCCAGGAAATCCCACGTCAAAAGCTTTGTCTGCAATGGGCGTGGGGAGATGGGGCTTCCAGAGATGACCGTGGTGATCACTGTTCCTTGACGCTCACCTGTTCCACATTAGGTATTAATTCACAGATTTAAAGTCATCCATTTTTACATTTGGCTCCCAAGGGGGTCAGGGGAAACTCAGTTTGAAAGTCCGACCCGAGGCTGCATGCAACAGAGAAATGAATGAGGAAGTTCTGAGTTCCGCATGCATGTTGTAATATGCGTACACACAAACACATGAGCAATTAATATCCAAATTTCAAGCATTCTCTGCAGTGTTAAAAAGAAAGCAAAGTATCCTCAGCTGGTGTCTGAAGTGAAAAAAGCAAAATTGATAGTGACCAAATATGGGAACTGACCCAGCTAGTTCCCATCTCTATTGAGACCAGAGTAAATGAAAGGATTATAGAGTGCCTTCAGTGCAATAACTTAAGGGATTAGAGGCACGCTAGAAGACCTCCGAGGGAAAATACAGGTTTAAAAGCTTTAAAAAGCAGCTCTGTGTCTAAACTGTTTAGACTGCCACAGCTGTAAGGACACAAACTTACTCTAATACATCCTAGAGCTCAGGAAAACCGCTCTAAGCATGCTGTTGGAAGCTGTTCTCTTTTGGATGCAGGCCGGGTTTTTAACCTCTCTCACTTATTACCTGTAGTTTTTAGATAACAACTCACTCTGCATTGCTTGGGAGCAGCTCTGCTGCTTATTTCCTTTTGGAGCAATAAGCCCCTCCTAGCAACGCTGCCGGGGGAAAGGGAGGCTCCCACCAGAAGGAAAGGACGTGGAAAAGAGATAAGCAGAAGATGAGCAAAAATAGACAGCGGTCAGACTTCAAGTTGCCTAAAAAGTGCTGAAAATCCCCAAATTTCTGCCACGGCATTAAATGGGCTGTTCATTGGAAAGTAAATTCCTAAGTTACTCTTAAGCAGGATTGACAACCCTCACAATTCATCCAGACTTTTGCTGTTTCTGGTTATCTTACAGATGCCATTTCTGGGACAAGTGGGACTTACAGGTAGGAACTGTGGTTAAGATTTCAGAGAAGCAAAACTCCCACGTTCTCTTGCTACCTTGGGGCAGAGGGAAAGTCAGAGAAGAATCCAGAGCTCCTGCAGTGCCATCACTGTCACTGACCACCTGTAGGACTCCCACGGCCGTTCCTGGGCACCTTACTGGTTAGATGAGAATGCATTTACCCGAGGCTTCTTTCATTCTGTGAGCAAATACAGCAACGTCTCAGTTGGAGCACTACTGCTAAAAATAGAAGGGCTGACAGTGAATATTTCTTACCAACAGTACAGCTTACAAAATCCCATCAAAGCGTTTATAACTGGACTCAGCACTCCCAGCTCTTAAATGAAAGCAGTTGCTTCTCTGATGCTTTTTAGAAAGAACACCAGCAGGTGTGGTGGTGGGTGATGGTTGGGCTCGGTGGTCTTAGTGGCCTTTTCCAATTGTAACGATTGTATGATTCTGTGATTGTATCTGAGAAGAAACACTAAACCTTCAAGATCAGGAAATCAAACTGTTATTGAGTTCTTAGCAGTATGATGACAACTGATCGCCTACAGAGTTCTGCAGAAGGAAGAGCTGAAGCCGAAACTGCATTCGATTCAAATCACTATTTCTAATTCTTCTTACTAAGAATTCAGACAGCCTCCTGCCTCGGTCCCACTGAGACAAATTAGCAACAGAAGGCGGTTTCTTAGGAGAGATGGTTAATCATGGGCAAAAAAAAATCACTTATAACAAATGAGAAAAATAAGAGATGGAGAAGTTCCCTATTTCCACAGCATCTCGTTTTGGAGAATATGCAAATATAGTATATGACATATTCTCATTTGTGACACGATGAGAGAAGGATGCATGAATTTTCAGCATGGTTTAGTCAGAAAGCAAGCCTGGGTATAGCCTCCTCATGTCATTCTGTTGCACGTTGGAACAAAAACTATTATTACCATAACGAAAAACATGCCAAAGCTACCAGTTTTTTAAATAACTGATTCAATAATTAAGCAATTTACTCGTAAATGATCAGAAACATAACCTCACACTCACAGAATTCTGAGCTTCCAGAGCACGCAGCCTGCAGAGCAGCTGGATCTGAGGCCAGTGAATGGAGCACCCTCAGCAGTTTCCATGAGGAAACTGGATTTTCAGAACAGTTGCCCCTGAGCCCCGCTCCTTCATTATGGCCATAATTAAGAAGTGGCAGAGATAGCATGAAGGGCCCACAGAGCAGCACGCAGCAGGCAGAGGCAGGTGATGCTTCTGCCAAGTATTTTTCTTCTGCCCTCTCTGCCTCCCAACGCCTTCTGCTGCATTGGATGGATCACCTGGTAGTAATCATAATTACAGCCATGATTCCTCACGTATTTACACACATCTCCGAGCTGAACAGATGGTCATAGGAGAGATGGGGATTTTCTAGGTCTTTCTAACCAACGTACCTGTAGCATGGCTCAAATCCCTGCAGAAAGCAGAGCCGGGAGATTTCCAAAATTATCATCATTGTAACAAAATATAACAGTGGAGTGAAACCTGTCCTGTTTATCCATCACCAGACTACAGGAATCTCTGTGTGCTGGAGCCTCCTAGCAGCATGCCTCCCTGCTCTGGCCTGATTTGCCACCCCATCAGTTTCAGCCCTCTCCAGCTGTTCCAGGCCTGGGCACACGAACAGGAGATGAAGGTGCCCTGGGCAACAGGGCTGGCCAGAGAATTCCATGAATAGAGGATGACATCATAGGAGACATCAAATAAGCTGGCTGTCACTGAAAACAGCTGAAAGTGTGACAGATTTTTCTGCGCACTACATCAGATCGTGTCCATCTGGAGTCCCAACAGAAAGCAGTCCCCACCTTTCCTTAGAGACTGGCGTAGAAAATGCAAATTCTGCTCACTTTGCTTATCTCACACGCACTGCAGCACACTTTCCTGAGGCAGCGGCCATCTCTTCCTTGGTCCCCCTGCACCACGGCCCACTTCCCCAGCAGCCAGCCCCACAGCTGGGGCCACAGCTGGGCAGGCAATGGCCGCAGCCCAGCCCTGCCTTCCTCGGGTGAGCAGCATCCCGCAGCCACGCTCCGACTTGGGGGATCCGCCTCTGCCCCTGACGGGCCGGCAGCGGGAAGCGGCAGAACATGAACACGTGCGTTTCAACACAACCTCCTCCTCATTCAGGGAGCGGGCAGACACAAACCAGCCGGGATCCCGGCGCTCAGCGCAGCGGCACAGAGCGGTGCTGGCAGCAGATGGCAGCAGCTGCACCTCCCGGGAGCCGCGTCCGCGATTGGTGCGGTGCTGCGAGCGCTTCCAGATGCCGGAGCGGACGTGTGCCAGCAGAGATCTCCTCCTCCTGCTAAATGTGTAACAGCTGTTTGACCCCCAGCAAGCCCCCTGGCCCTGAGCTTGCTGCCGGCCTGCTGGGCAGCACCGCGTGGAGGAGCTCAGCCTGCGGGCCTCGCTGCTGCAGCGCCCGGCTGCATCCACGTGTGCTCTGCGTGGATTGTGGCAAAGGGGGGAGGGAGACTTGCTGAGGAAACGGCCTGGAAACAAGCAAGTGGCAAGATAGAACACAGCGAATTCCTGTAAAAGCACTCCAGTACTTACAAGATTATGATAACTTTCCATTAAGAATATCTGCTCTTTCTCTAAGAACATCTTAGCTAGCAATGGCAAATGACACTGCAGATGAGTACTTGAGAGGGTGATCCTCAGTTCCTTCCTTGTTCAGGCTTGTAGGCTTTGGGAATTAACATTACATCAAAACCAAAAAGCCTACAGACTCATTCTGGTGCCTGCGTTCCCCATTGCTCCCGCAGCCCTACCATCTCCCACACATTCATTGTCCACTGGCAAAAAATCTGCATTCTGCTCTTCCTTCACTCTGCCCAGACCGCCTGCAGCTCCTGGACTGGGCCCTACACATCCCAGGACCTTGCAGCTCAACACCATTCCTCCACAACTTGCTTAACTTGCTTTCTACATCTCTTACATATAGAAAATGACATATAGAAAATGAAAATTCTTGTCCAGATTTTGCAAATCCCCGTAAGATCTACGGATGAGAAGAGCTAAATGAGTGCAGAGCATTATGATTCTCCTAGCAGGCAGGAATCCTACATGTGTGTGACAAACACAAAATACTCAGAGAGGGATCAACAGCAAGAAGATTTCATTTGGTTCTAATCCAATTTCTTACAAACATTAGGGCTCATTTCCATTTCAATCAAATCTGCTTGCATATTCCTTGTGCTCATGACAGTTTATGCTCATAAGTTCATACTGGGTTACCTAAAAGAAATGAACGCATCTGGTTTGTCTCGGTAACTGAAATGACAGTAAAATATTTTGGTTTTGAGCAGTATATGAATAAAGGGGAAAAAGGAGCTGTTACACACTTGTGGGTCTACAGACACTCCTCTCTGACAGGCAGAACAGAAAAACAAAACAAAACCATGGAAAGAAAAACCCTGTTTTGCTTATAGGAAAGGATGAGGCTTATGGACTGATTTAGCTTCCTATTGTTTTCCCAGTAATGATTCCACAGCCAGAAAAAGTACTGCAAGTCATGGGAGGAAGAGGACGCTGTGTGAAGTTAAATTTTGCACTCCTGGGGTCAGCTCTGCAGGCTGCTGCGTAAACCTCATCAACCCCAGGGACACAGGTAAAGCCTGGATTTGCACACACACCTGACGGAGCACGAGGTGTTGCCACTGCACTCTGCTACAGCTGTTTATTCGCACAAGAACAACAACTAAGAAGTTCGTTCATGGTTCTGATTGAGCTCAGGACTTTATAAATGTGACAGGATTGTTGCACTGGAGGCCAAACGCAGCCCTCATCTTCCCTTCTGCAAAGACAGCTCAACACAGAACGACTCAGAGCCACCCATCTCTTGGACTGCTTTAACAACAGGCACAAGCAGCAACAGACGTGTATCTCACACTGCAAGAGAGCCAGAATAGCTGATTTTTAAAAATGCATCTGGGTCAGTGGCTGCCTCAAGTAGAATAAACGGGCTGCATGAGTGAGTACGCCCTGCAGAAACATGACTCTGTGGACCTAACTCCTGCTGATGAGGACAAATAGGCCCTTTTAGAGCAGGATTTTTAGAAGCAAAGTGATTTGGGAATACAAGTCCCAGAGGTTTTCCCAGTGCCTCTGGAGCACAACCTGTAAGCTCTAAAAATTCTGCCCTTAAACCGTACTCAGCTTTGTAATGTTGAAACCCCTGGTGATACTCAGCCCATGGAGAACAAGTTCCAGCAATTCATCTCTGCACACAGATACCATCTCTTAATCAAATATCCATAATCATCAATTAGGCCTCCAAACGTCTCAATTTGCTAGAAAGAAACGGTTACCTTAATCAAACACACTGCAATAACCGATGGGTGGCTAACAGAGGGGATGGGATTAGTTACAGCCAGGCTGCCCAGCTCACCTCCATCCAGCAGCTCCCCCCCCTCAGCACAAGCAATGGCCTTTTGCAAAGCCCAGCACACGCTGCACGGGGAGCAGGCACACTTCCATTCACACGGGTCGCTCTCACGCACAGGAACGAAGCTACCTGTAAGCATCAGCACGAATGTCTTTGCACTGCCAATTAAACAGAACTGCGTTGCAATTACCCCTACTAAGCGGCCTGTTCCGGCTCCGGGATCTGCTTCGCTGTCTCTGAAGTCGTGACCTCCGGAGCAGACGATAGTAGTAGGACGGTCTCCCAGAACTTTTCCTGCTGTTCATTGACATTTTTCTGTCTATTTTACACATACACACATGCAGGCACAGGTTCACTCTCCCCTCTGGCAAAGTAGCAACAGTTCCAGCGTGTAATCAACGGGAGGTTGTTCTGTGCAGTGGAAAGGGAGAGGGGGGAAGAGGAACTCTTCACTTTGCACATTTAAGAAGAAAAACAACAGGAAGAAAACATTAAAAAGACAGAGAAAAAAAAAAAATAAAGGAACGCAGCACCAGAGTACATGTCTCAGCAGAGGGAGGACTTGCAGCAAGCAAGATAGACTGTACTAACAATTCCTGCCCCCAAAAAGATAAGCGTGCTGGAGTTGGAATAGGAAGCCAGAGTTGGCCTGGGCTCTTGAAACGTGAAGAAAAGGCTGGAAGAAATCCTGGACTGGATCGTCCCCGCTGGACAGCAGCATCCGACCGAGCAGCGCTGGAGGAAAGCAACGCCTGCTGCAGGAGAGCAGCCGCGCAGCCTCTGCCTGCCAACAGCTGCACCGCCGGGACGGAGTGCCAGGCAGCCGGGCTGCAGCAGGAGGCAGCTGTGGAATATGGGGCAGGGAAGGGTATAACGATCTCCGGGCTGTGGGACACATGTTAATAATCATCGTGGAGCAAAAGCCCCGGAAAATAAAGTGAAACTTGAGAGGGGAAAACTTTAATTAGAACTTGAATGAACAGAGCTCCAGACTCCCCTGGAGGCCCATTTCCTTTCAACATTCAAACTGAGTTATAGCACATCCCAGGAATTAGAGAAAGAGCCTATTTACCATTTGGGGTCTGATGGCAGCGAAGATTCTGTCTCCGGCTCATGTTGCTCAATAAAATTACATTGCATTGGGCAGAATTAACGCTTTAAGCCATGGAAGAAAAGCAAAAAAAGAAAACAGAATAACCAGACCAAAAATTACACTCCAGATTTAGTTTTGAAAGGTCAGGTGTGAGGTGAATTGTCCATGTTCCTCCACCAAAGCTCCTCTGCAGGCTGGCACAGACCGTGCTGTGCAGGACAAGCAGAGAGCACTGCAGAAACCCTGAGCTGTGGCCAAGGACTGAGCGTGCTGCCACTCCTCACGGGTTGGCAGATAACAGAAAAATCTCATCAGAGCGGGGTGAACTGGAAAACAAAGTTCGCACAGTGCCTCCCTATAGTGTGTCCTACTTCTGTTCTTTTTCCCAGACATTTGTGCACATGTATCTCTGTGGGATGGCTGTAGGTAGGACCAGGCAGGCTTGGCTGAGGACGAGCTGTGCTCCCTGCTCAGTTGGAGCTTCTGCAGGAGTCTGAAAGCTTCCTGGGTTATACCGAGTTGTGTCTTCAGTCACAGGAGGCAGAAACCAGCCGACCTTGGTTCCCTCGGTGTGACATGTCCTGCTAGTGCTTCGTGTGGGAAACAAAGCCTGCCAGTTCTCCTAAGGAGTGTCCCTTCCTTATCACCAGCAATCCCCCCTACTTTCAGCATTTTGTAAACTCACATAGTCATGAAAAACATTAGAATTTTATAAAACCTGTGTTGTCTTATTTACAGATTGTGTAGGGAAAATATGGTATTCATCAGCAGAGAAAGACCCTTCCAGGACAGGAAACAAGCCTCAGCCTTTAGTAAAGTCCATGCCTGGTTTTGAGGCCACACATAAGGAATTCAACAGCTTTTAGACTGCACAGGAATGAGCCAATCACTGGGGCAATGACAAGTTCAGGTCAAGGAGGGAGCTCCAGCTGGACAGCAGAGGCTCCATCCCGTGTGCAGGGGGATGCTGCACAGGACTGTGCTCTGCTGGCACCAGCACCAGCTGTCACCCAGCCCCACAACACATCGCAGCAAAAAGGAGAAGGCTTTGATTTACTGCACGTCTGCTCTCATCTTGTAATCCAGAATGTTGAGTTTTTTCATATTTGGGTAGATTAAAACACAAAAAGTAATAAAGAAATGACAAAAAACATTCCCCAAGTGATGAGAGACTCATCCTGTGCAGTTGATTCAGTTTGTAAATAGGGCCAAGAACAACTATAAGACAGTGATGGGAAAATCTGAAAATACTGAGGTTCAGTAACAGATCTGTAGACAAGAAGCCAAATACTCATAGCTCTCTCTGAGTTTTGGTGTCCTAATAACTGAGCTGGTAGCTTAAAAAAGCTTTTTCCTATTATGCTTTTATCATTCAAAATGTCTTTAAAAGAGTTGAACCACTTTATTTCTTTAACTCTTCATTCTGAAGAACAACAACAACAAAAAAAGGCACTGATAGAACTGAAAGTTGAAGCAAAACCATTTAAAAGCTCATTCAAATTCAGACAGTCCAAAAGGATGAGGTCCACCTGGGTTGGTTTTGCCTAATTGGAACCATGTGGCTCATCCTCCAAGCACCTGGGATGCGGTGGGATGCAGACCAGCCATCCTCACCTCCGTGTGCAGGTGGGAATGATCAGGAGATAAGGATGGTGGTCCTGCTTTCAGGGCACATTCACTCACGTGTACTTAAGCATCTGTTCCACGTTTAGGGATATTTTTGTTAATCAACTGAGTACCTTCAGAAATGTCCGTGCAGGTGACCATAAAACAGGAGAAGTTAATGAGGGACTATAAACCATCATGACAAGAGAAAGCAGCCCTGCAATAAAAGCGTAAGCGGTTGGGAGTTTCGTTCAAGTTTAGCCAGCTTGCCTCTGTCTGTCTCACTTCAACGAAGTTTGTGAAGGTTTTAAGTTCAGATGCTGCGTAGCAGCAGGCAACAAAATGAATGACCTGTCTGGGAGGGAATGTGACTGCTCTGGACCTTTCCAATTAATCCGCCATTACTTTTTTTCTTCCTTTCTTCTTCTTTTTTTTTTTTCTTCTTTCTGAAAGCCAAATCCTGACACAAACGCTCTTTTGTGCATAGCAGAACCTACCACTTGCAAACGTTAGATATATTAACTGTTCTGGAGGAAAGCTGATGTTAGAATCTATCTCTACAGCAACACGTCACAGCTGTGCTGTTCCCCAAGGCAGAGCGATGGGTTCAGTTGCTGGGCTCTACTGAACCTCTCCATACGAGGAGCAAATGGAGCCAAACATAGCAATGATTTTGGGGTGCCAGCACTGAACAGTAACCTTACCATGAAATTAAGTGCCCACCAAAGTGTAACATCTCAATAAAATACCCAGTTTTTACACCACTGAGATGCAGAGGAAGGCTGGAGCACCCACAGCCAGCCTTGCGTCCCCTGTCATCTCCCTCCGTTAACCTGCTTATAAGCTCTCTTAAGACTGGATTTATTTCACTCCTTTACCAAAACTAACAGCGTGTGAATAAACTGTAAATTAGCACCAAAATAAGTTCTGGGACGGAGAGCTACACAAATGTGGGTTTGTTTGCTTTGACATCAAAAGGAGCAGGCTGCTGCCTGAGGGTTTGCTCAGCTACAGCGGGGCTGTGGGCTGCATGGGGCTGCTGGAAGACATGCCTCCTGGGGGCCAACACTCAGCTTTTTATCATTTGTTTATTGCCTTGTGCTGGGAAAATAATGACTGCATTTCAGAACGCACGTTCCCAGTGCAGACTCTACCATTACACCTCTTGCTTTCCCAAAGGACTTTGCAGGGAAACAATCATTCCTCTCAGCTCCCTCAGATTTCATGGCAAGGAACCTGAATCCCTTCTTCTGAAAGTAAGGTTTCATTTGTTTCTCGAGGGCGCAGTCCTGGCCCTAACGTAAAGTTATGGGGATACACTGATTTGTACACTGGCCCCTGAATTTACCTTCTGGATGAGAGCAGCTTTCGTTCATTTCATTTCCCACATTTATTCCACAAAGAACTGAACAGAAGCTTTCAAAAGTTAGCAAAATAAAATTAAAAAAAAGAAGCAGTTGCTTTGCATTGGCCAATATAGAGGGGAATGGTGGATGTTGGCTGAATTTCTAATCAGTGTTTGGTCAGAGAACAGCAGATCTATCAACACGAAGCTGACAACATCTGAGTGCTGCCCTGCTCTCCGTGTCACATATAAGCACTTCTGAAGAGTGCCAATACTTCTCTTGCAGTCTGAGGCAACGAATAAGGGAGTCATCTCTAAGGAGCATCAGACTTTTTAAACAAAGGATTAATACAAGTGTTCTTGCTGGATCCCAGTCGCTCTCTGGATTTGCCTGCTTGGATTTGCTCTCAAGATCATTATGGGATGCAGTTCAGCACCCTGCGAGCTGGCAGGTTTCCAGGCTTATTGCCTCAAGGCTACCAGGGATATATAACCTCATATACAGAGCCAGAGAGGAAGGCAATTTCCTTTGTATAAGAAGAACTGAACTTTCAGCTCAGCTCTACTCCTAGCAAGTAGAACAGTCCTGGTTTTCAAGCAGCACTGTAAAAGAAGTTTGTGCTGAAACTGTTCCACTCCATCCTTGCTCACATCCCAGCCCCCCGGCAGTTTGGCCTTTAGGAAGAACTTCCCCCCCAGGCAGAAAGGCACTACTGGGTTCTCTTGCTGCAGTCTGAGCAGGGCCTTCCTGCTCCCATGTACCACCGCCAAGGAAAACGAAAAAGGAAAAAGAAAAAAGAAAAAAAAAAAAAAAGAGCAACTAAAGAGGCAACACAGACAACTGATTCCACGTGAGAACACTCTCCAAACAAGAGAATATTCAGAAATGCATTAGAGAAATAAGTAACCATACTTAACCTAGCAGGAGGGCTGGAGCCAACAAGTTAAAATCATAAAAGTTAGATCTATTTTACTTTTTTTTTTTGCTCTGGTAGAATGGATTTGATTTGGAAGAAAAGAAGCAATGTAACATTTTCTGATTTTTAACTCTGCTCCTTAAAAAGTCTTCACTGACTTATTCAAAGGCTTTCAGAAGGAAAGTTTCGTATACACAATAAAAATAAAATACTACTTCCCAGTATTTTAATGGGAAACAATGATTATTTTAAGGTTGCACGGACAAATTAATTTCCTTGCCACCTCAGGTGGATGGCGTCAGCTCTTTGACTGCCTCACCAAAGAATGGCTCACAGATTTGGAAGCAGAATGAGAAACATTTACATTAAGTTTCAACACAGAATTAATGGTCCCCCATTCATTTGTATGTAACAACCCTATGCCATAGTCCTGCTGTCTGTATGGCGATGAAATCCAAATGGAATTGGGGAAGTTATTTTTATCTAGTACTGATATTGAATGATATGAGTAGAAAAAGGCAAAAGAAACAATTAATTGAATATTAAACAAGAGTTAAGGAGGTGTTGTGACATCAGAGCACGGATCCTTCAGCACTCCCTACATAAAGGCCATTTGCACCATCGTGTTTCCTCCGGCGGTGCCTGGAGATCCCAGGGAGATCAGTGTTGTATGGCTGTGGGATCGGTGGTGCACGCCACCAAACAAGAGGTGATTCCTTGTCCAAAGCACTCCCAGTCTAACGAGCTGCACACGTGATGGCCCACGCTGCAGGCAGTTACCACCATGCCAGGCATGGAGGATGGAGCCCTGAGATGTGAGCGAGGCCACGAGGGAAGGCGACAGCTGGGGCTGCACCCCCAGCCCTCCGTCCTGCCCAAAGAACTGAGCAGGCTTCCTTCTCTCTTGTGACAATCCTCTTGTGATGAATAAGCATTAAGTGTCAGTGTCTTTCTTTCTACAGTGTATTCCATCCAACAGAGCACTGATGCTTTTGCAAATACTTGTTCAGCTTTTCAAAATACTTAAAACGTACATAGATTCTCTTTTTCATTCAGAAAGATAAAAATTTCAAATGAAAGTGCGAAGTGTTAAGGAGGAAGGTCAAGTCTTTGGCTTTTAATTTGACATCATTATGTCCTGATTTTGAGGCATAGTCATCATACATCTGAGAGATGAGAGCAGGTATCTCATAGGAAGTCTGAAGCAAGAGAAGCAGAAATACCGCCTGGGAATTTTA